TGTATGCTTTACCTGTCTGCAGGGTAAGTCTTCAATATTTTACTAGGTCAGTTGCTTTCTCGTCATCATTTATTCTAACAGAAAAAATGAGGCCTCTAAGGAGTGAGCAAGGAGTCAGAAGTTCATTGCAGAAGCTGAATGTGGAAATGTATGAGTCATCCTTCAATCTTATTTCCAGTTCAAGCAGTGCAGTGCAAGGTTATGCATGAGAATTGTGCAGTGCTGAACCTACACTCAGACTTCTCCAACAGCCCACAAATATGGCCCTATCTAGCCTGCCCTTCATGGCACCCTGAGTGCTATTGACTGCTAATATGCAGCACACTTGAAGATCTCCCAAGGCAAAGTATTAAATGCCAAAATGAGACGACCTAGAAAATGCTAACCACAGGAAGCAGCAGAACCAAACTGACTGGCTGCATAGTTCAGAACAGCAGTAAAAAAAAAAAAAGGCTGCAAAAGTCCGTCCGTCCCCCCAGGAATCTCTGAATGTGCCACCTTACCAGATGAAAGATTGAAATATAACTCATGTGTTGCCACATGACACATCAGCTGTGACTTCATTTCCATTTCTGCATCTTGCAGGGAAGCCCTGCCTCTATTCACAGAAGTAGTGGCATCAAATAGGGTCAATGCTAGTGGTCCTAGTAATGTCAAGGACTGGATTTTACCCTAAATAACAAAAAGAACATATGACAGCTGGGGTGGGGGGAAAGATAGAGACTTTGAATAGCCATATTGCTGGCTCAGTGTTTGGGTGCAAAGTGCAATAGGGATGTCCTTCTGCCAGGATAGGTATCTAACAAAGGAGAACTGTTTGTTATAAAGACAAATTCCACTGTCCCAGTTTAAGTATAACCACTGTTTGGATGCAGCAGTATGTGGGCGTCTTTGCTCCTTTCAGCATTCTCACTCAGTCTGAGACAGAGTCTCATTATCATTTATGCAGCATGAGCCATAATTTGGATTGATGTGACTGCCGTTTAATGCAAAGCATTCGTTTCCCCTTGTACAATAAAAGCGCTTTACTTCATTTTGTTCATCAATGTATCGTGCAATTAATTCAGCCCTGCTTATCATATCCTGGGCTTGCATGTCATGGACTCAGGGGACTTAGAAATGTCTTAATGATCTCATGGATATGAAAACAGTGAGAGCGATGATAGACATTATGCATTTGCACGTCTCTCACGCCTATCTGATCTGGGGGGTTGTTTGTTTTTTATCTCCGCTTTGCTTTGCTTGTACCTTGTAAATTGCCTCTCTGTGTAACCTGCTGTCTCTGTTCCCTTCCCTAGGCTTTATAACTCAAAGCAACATAAACATAGTGAGAAAGATAAGCAGCAAGTTAAAGAAGACCTGCAGGGAGAAGCAGATGACCCAGGAGACTAGAAACAGGATATGGAGATTTTCCTGACTAGAAAACTGGTCCAGGTGAGTTCAGCTCACTGCAACTAATATCCAACAATTAGCTGATTTATGTCAAATATATTGGTGGTATGTCTTGTGCAGACTGAGTAAAAACTGAATACACAGCTGGCTCCCTTCCTGCCAGCATAAAAGTTAGGCTAATAAGGCAGAAATGCTTTCCTTTGCGTTTTCAGGACAGTGTACCCTTGGTGGGTAAGGTGATAGTGATTCCGTGGGGAAGTAGTGGAGCTAATACAATTGCTCCTGCTGTCCTTATCTAGCTTGTGAGGATGGAGACAAGCTCACCCCTCATAGTTCTGCCCTTCTCGTCCCTCACTTGAGGTCTAGTCTGAAGGTAACACTGGTGTGTTTGAGTTGTGCCCCTGGCTGTGGAGCTGAGAGCAACAAAGGCATCAGCTCAGCACAAAAGCATATATTATCAATAGAGCCTTTCTGAATAAGCAGTGAGGAAGGGCATATAGAAGTCGTCCTGGCTCTACAAACTCCTTTTTAAATCCCAATGGGAAATCAGCAAGCAGAAATATTATTTGGATTGGAGGGGAAACTCACGGCATTTTGTAATGCTGGTGGGGAGCCTCCTCCTACAACTTCACTGCAAAACAATCTATGGCAAAATGATTTGGGGAGTGCAGAGAGTTACACTAATGTGGTACCTTGGCAAGCACACTTGAAAGTCCCTTCTAATCTCAGCAAGAAGAGCTGCTCCTCTGGTTTTCTAAAATCTAACTAGAGCTTTGAGATATAATTGAGGGACTACTCTTCAAGGTTCACTGGCACACTAGAAAATGAACTGACATACCAGAAATGGCTTTATGGGGTACATATGATCACTCAGAACATTCCAAGAAAACAACAGCCCTCATTTTTTCTGATAAAAAAATAGGAAAGCAATGCTTTTTCCAGGCTTTATGTAGCAGAGAGTGACTGGCATGGACTTGAACAATTTGGTATGGCATGGGTTTGAAATTGAAGCACTTTCACACACTGTGGATTGACAACAGGGTAATTACTCGGGGGGGGGGGGGGGGGGGGGGGGGAGAGGGTTTCAATAAAACACCCCCAAGCTAAAATGAATGCAGACTATTACAGACCTGAGACAGAATGATTCCCAAGTGTTTTAATTTGTGCTTCCACTCCTTGTCTCTCTTGCAGTCATCATTTTGGTAACTGCCAGCAACATCCCCGAGATTCAACAGCATTTGCAGAGCAGGCAGCTGCTGAGATGATTATGTCAAATCAGCACGCTGTCCTCTCTTTTCCATGTCTAATGATTCTCACCCTTGGAGAAGTGGTTTAAAATGATGCATACCCTTTGGACTCATTGTGAGGCTGCTAACAGCAGTAGCTGTAGAGCAGGAGTTGGGGTGGGACTGTGTCACTCACCTTTCTTGCATGCATGCCCTGCAATTAACTTTAAAAATTATTCCACAGAGCCCTGCTATGGCTGGTTTGGGCCTGATCCAAAGTCCTTTCAAGACAATAGAAAATCTTGCAAGAGCTCTAGCTTAAGCTCTCTGGGGGCAGTAGAGAAACTGAGCTTGTGTGAATTCTTAATCTGAGTTTCTCAATTATTTGAGAAGAACATAAAAATCAAGACTTGCTTGACATTTGTCTCCCTCTCCCTTGTTTGGACCTAATGCCCCCAAAGGCAGAACTGTCACCGACTGCACTGCGATTGGGAGATACTGGGAAGGAAGGGGAAAGTTGCTAAATGTAACCCAGAGATACTATCACTCTGCAGCTGCTGTCATGCCCGTGAGGCAGCACAGAGCGGCACTAAAAAGCTTTGCTGCACTCAGAAGTGGGTTGGACTTGTACAAATGTTGCCCTGGGGTTTTATATCACAGGCTGGTCTTGCATTCCACACCTTGGCACGTTATTTACTCAACAGCTTTCCTTTGCACTGCAATTGCAAAGTCAGTAGTTGATCTGGCTGATACATAAATCAGGTTGTCTGGTTCTTTTCGCACTGCTGTGGCTGTGCAGCATGTGCATGTGCCACTGCTCATCCTTTCTTCTTCACCTCTGCAACGTTACAGTGTGATTCAGAAAGAATGAGTCTCCGTCTTGGGCTCTCTTTCCGAAACTCCAATGTGAGCAATCAATCCAGTCATCCTGTGATTTGATTTATAATAATTAACTCAATTTTCATTGACCTTACACATTTAACTAATCCCACCAATTAAGAATAATCTGTTCTTTATATTCAGAATTAATGACAGACCAAAAGCTGAAAAAGCAAGAGCTGAAGAAGCAAGTCTCCTTTTGGAGTCTAAAAGCTCTGGCTTAAAATTCAGACTTGCTGTTTAAACTTGCTTGTATTTCACATGACTTGCAACACAGCCTTGCTCAAAACACTGACCAGGATCCTACAAGGATTCCGTATATAGTGTATGGGGCAACGAATACCTGCATCACCAAGGATAAAGACCCCTGCAAAATTTCCTGCTTTCTTTCAATTGCACTGTTCCAAGCATATCTTGGCTCCTATATTGCAAAGCAGCGTGGTATCAAAACCTGGCTTTCATAATGGCTGTGCATGTGGTTCTCATCGGTGTCACACAGACCAGGGTTTGAGAGCTCTGCAATTGACTGTGATCAATTAAGGCCTTTTTCCCTTTATGCTTCCACTGACAATAGCACTGGCAGCACCACCCACTATTCTGCATCTGGGCTGAGGGAGGGGCTGCATTTCTCTCTCTGGGTTAACAAATTGCATCCTTGCTGCTGTGGCATAGAGCTGGAGCCAAACCACCTTTCTTTACTCCCGCATTTTAGGCTAAAACTGTAGTGCTGTAAGCAGAAATCTAAATAGCTACATCCAACCAAGAGGTAGGTTTTTGCCTAAATGCTCCTTTACAAATTCCTCCTTCAGTGTACCTCCTAGCAGTGCAGGTGTATGAGGGTCAGAACTAATGTTGTATTCATAGCATATCTCTGTAGTCATGACTGGGCACTCATCACATTAGAGTATGTTAGCAGCATTTGAGTGAATACACAATGCAGAGTGACACTACAACAGAAACAGGAGTGCAAAATGGAGAATCGCCTACCTAAGTGGAACACAGGGAGTTTAAGGAAGCAGTATAAAGAGGATTCTGAGCACAGCACCATGATTAATATTTGTATTCCTACAAAAAGTGCCATACATCTCCAGGTTCTTGAATGTAAAAGGCTTCAGAGCTGTCTCCCACCAGAAGCCAGGGTATTGGGGTGTTAGCAGTAGAAAAGAACATCTTTACCAACTAACACTACTCCTGTTCAACGCAGGTAGCCTGTGTTGCTCCAATATATCACTGAAGTCAGTAACTAAGTAGTAATATAAAGAAGTTTTAAACATCTGGATGGTTACACCAGGCAGAAACTGTTAGCTGCAATTTGAGTGAGGATATGGGGAAACTTGGATCCCCAATTTGGGTAGAGAAATTTTTCTACCAAGTGGCGTAATTGGTCTGTGTGATTACCTGAAGTCATCAGTGATACCTGCTGGCCAGCTCCCTTATAGGCCTTTCTGGCTACTGCCACATCCTTAGGTGCAGTCAAAGAAGAAGAAGAGTTGCACAAAGGATATCTATCATGTCTTTATTTACATATCATGGAAACACACATGCAACATGTCACAGGATTTACTACAATGGAACAGCCTGTCCCTATCTCCTGTTACCAAAAACCTTATTTTTAGCTCACTAGGAAAACTATCACTTCCCCAGAAAGCTCCTAAAAATAATCATTAAAAATAACAGACTTGGCAGGATAACTAAATGAGTGAGAGCTGCAGGCTGGGATGTCTTGCCGCATCCTTGCAGAAAACAGGTGCTTCTCTGGAAGCAAGAAAGGAAGGAAGGAGTGGGACTGGATGGTCCCAAAGAAGACAGGTAGGAAGTGGTAGTGTATAACAGCTAGGGAATATCTGTCCGTAGCAGTGAACAAGGGAGAGAGCAAGAGCTCTGTCAGAGGGTCCCCTCTCACCTAGGCAGCCAGCTTCCTGCTGATCCGTTTCCATCTTTGATTCCACCTGGAGGCTACAAGCTTCCTATCCTCTAGGAACCTCTGATCCTTAAGAAGGATCTACCTTTCTTCTCAAGCAATAGTTAAGGCATAAAGTTTAAGCTCATAACCCCTTTGACCTGAAGGATCTTTCATATATTGCCTCTGTTGAGAGGATGATATGAAACTGCAGACCCTTTTCCTGGAGGACCATCAGAATGTTAGTCATGATCATCTCTTACTAACTGGGAGAGGACCCAGCTCAATGGCAGCAATGTGGTGCGGGAAGGGAGGGGGAATGCAGTCCTGGTAGGGAAAAGGCTGAGGCCACTCTATAATTAACATGAGCTTCAGTCTTATATGAACCTGGCATGTTCAGAGCCTGCAGCTTCAGTCATTTTCTTGACTTTTTCCTCTAATTCCTATTGCTAGGTATAAACAGTTTGACCCCAGCACCTGACCATCCAGGCAGGAGTCCCACCCTCCTAAATGTTGATGAATGATCCCTGCTCTCCGTTGGCTGATTCGGGCTCCACACAACGCCCTTTTCTCCGGGTCACTCTTCGGTTCCGGTGGAATTTGGCATAACAGCGTAGCCCTATGGAAAAGACACACATAAGTGAGCAGGAGAGACCAGGGCTCACTACAGCAGTAACATCAAACAATTAGCTCTTGGCCTCAGTTCACAACAGAGCCTGCTGCAGTGGGGACAGTCCCAGGGCTGGGAAGCCTGGGCAGTGTCAAATGAGGTGGCAGAGAAATGCCTCACATAGGCAGGGCATATTGCTTTCTGGGCCCTGCTATGCTGTTTGGCTCACTGTTCTGGTTTGGGATTCATTGGCTCAGGCAGAAGGTTTCACTGGCTTCTTGAAATACCGATGAATTATCCTGATTATTTCTGGTGATTTTATGGAAGCCCTGCTTGGTTTCCCCCTATTACTTCCCATTACTGTCTAAGTGATCTCTCCATTGGGAAATTACTGTAGACTTAATGTGCAGCAGCAATGGCTAGGGAGCTCCCCTTGCTATTTATTTCCCTGAAGCTTCAGGAGAGGAGGGAAGAGACTTTGAAATGTTATTACTGGGAGGTGTGATCCAAAGCTCACTGCTGATCTCCTTAAGTTTCTCCATTTTGGATGCTTGAAGTGCAGGGTCTGAAGGAAGCTATTTCATATAGCGTTGGTGAATACTAAGGGGGGAAAAAGGCATTTTATTTGTAAAAAACATGAGTACATATTCTCCCATGGCAGTGGAAGGCAATAGGAGCCTCTGGTCAAGGTAACTCATCGGTTTCTGGCACGGACAGATTTATCTTTTGGTGTCTGTTGTCTGACCTTGTTACACCAGAATGCATAGCTAGTTGGGCCAGACAGGGTACAAAAATCACAAAAGCCCTCATCTTCAGTGGCCCAGGATCTGGTCATTGGGGTTGGTAGGAGCTGATTTGATCATCCTAGAAACTGCAACTCTTTTTACTTCCAGAGCAGGCAGCAGATAGCAACAGTGCCAGCAACCCCAGAGTGGGGGAGGCTGAGGATTTACAGCTGTTATAATGAGACAGACCGGGCCAATGTCACAGGTCACTGAGCAGCCTTTTGGAGTGCATGTCCCTGGGCTATGTTGAGACTGGCTATCTTGAAGTTGGGTTTCTGCCCCTCATTACCAATCCCCCCAGGGCAGTCTGGCCTCCTAGAAGGAGAGCACACAAGATCACAGCTCTGCCCTTATCTAAGCATCTTGTCTATCTTATCTGGACCCTACATCTCTGGGGATCTTTTTAATGCTACAGAGGATGCACATTTGGCATCAACTTATAACTAGCTTAAGTAAAAAGCAGGGCTGGGGGCAGCCCTTGTTAGGCTTGCAGAAACACTTTTGTAGGCTAATCTATCAGAGCACTGTCTCTGATGAGGACCTTCAAGTGTTACACAACACACCCAAGGTGAAGACTATCATTTAACATTGCAACTCGAGGAAAGCAGTCTGTTTAACTGGGTAAAAAGTAGGTGAATGACCTGGTCAAAGTCACTAGGTACCTAACACAGGTCACAAAACTTGGCAACCAGAGTTTTGTTCTGGGAGACAAGACCCAGTGCCGAGCTGATCTTGAACATGTTGAGACTAGAAGAGTGCCTTTCAACATCTTCATAACACAACTGTCTATTAAGGGCTGCTATGGATTCTTCAGAAAGAGTTTTAAGAAACAAAAGTCTGTGTCCAGACCACACCTACTAAATTGCTACAAGTTCAGTTGAAATTAACTCAGGAAAGCCATATTAGGCATAAGGTCATGTAAAACAAAGGTAGTAGTCTGTTTTTACAACCTGTGGTACTTGAAAGCACCACTGAAGTATCAGTATATCGTGGCTTCTTCTGTTAGGTTTGTAGATATCAGGATTTTTGTTTTTAAGAAGGAAAGCAAGATGTCCTAGATGACTCAATGGTCACATTGCGAGCCAGTGGCAGGGAAAGGCTAAGAGCAGCAGAGCTTGGCTCCTATTTTCACATACAAACCACTATTCCAAGTCAACGCAGCCAACTACGAAGCCAGCTGGAAGGAGGAGAGCAAAGCGCTGAACTCACCTTCAGTGCACATACAGTCATCATAACATTTGTTGTTAAGGCCTCGATTGTGTGGTTTGCAGAGGTGTTCACGCAAGTCGCAGCAAGAGCCTGCAACACAGGAACAGGGGTCAGCACAGCTCATTTATTGCCTTCCCTTGCAGGGCTACTGACACCCATGACAGCTCCATGGTACAGACATCATCTGTTCCCATAACACACCTAGAGAGCCTCTGCCCTTCCCTCTGCATATCACTTTCTATCAGCATCAGAAATCAGGATACTTGTGTTAGAACCTGGGCTGGATTTCAAACAATCTCATGCTTGGAGAAGTGACTCCACCAAGCTAATCCTGACCTGGGAGGCAGTCAAGGTGGTGATCACATGGCTCTCCTTCAGCCATCATGGTTTCATTTCCGCTATTGGGACTCTTACTGCGGCGTTTTTCTGTGGAAAAAAACAGATGATAATAGAAAATTTCATGCTAGTGGTTTTATTTTGGAGGCTATATTGTTCCAGTGTAAAAACAGCCTCAGTCTTCAAGAGTTTGAAATCTAAACCTTCATAGTCTAATCTCCTCCCTATTTCTCAACCCTCCATCTATCATTTTTCCTCTGCCCTCAAATTATGTGTCCAAAATGAGAAACATTCTGAAACTGAGCACAAAACACAATCAGCATTATGCTTTTTCTCTCTTTCTCCATCACTATGATCTCTCATCGTTCGGCACATCTGTGAACACTAACCATGTGACAAGCCTTACAGAATGACTTTTGGGACATGCCTTATGGAATGACTTTTGGCAAAGAGGACATTGGAGGTTTAGCACCTTTCTTTTTAGCAGATGGCCACATTTCTGGTTTGAGATCCTCATAATCTGTCCAGTCAAAGAGCGCCATATCTAGGGTGGGCATCACATCCCCGTCTTGCCTGAGGCGGGCCTGCAAACCACAAGAAACCAAAGAGACAACACATTATGCTTCTGTAGTAACACTGAAGTCTTTGCAATTTTTCCCCGGTGCTTTTAGACCTTAAAAAGACTTTACGATCCCCCACCCCTGTCTTGTCCACTGGGGATTCTTGGCATCTCATTTTCAAAAGGGAATAGCTTTCCCTTGCTGCACCTGAAGTCAAGAGGGAAGTTTCCACTGCTTCTGTGCGAGGACAAGAGGCGAGCAAGGAGCATTAGGACATGCTGCCTCTCTAGCCAAGTGCTCCTACTCCCTCTCTGGTCCTCGAAGCTGAATAAAGATGGCTAGCTAAGGGAGAGGTAGGGCAGGGAAGAGAAGCAACTAAAGGAAGTGTTTATGAAGAATAGGCATTTAGATGTCTCCAAGACAGAGAGCTGCTTTTGAGGGAGGGCTTTGGTGTTAAGCAAGCACTTACATCTAACTGGGGGAGGGGCAGGGGGAGGAAACTGGACCTTATCTAGCCGAGATTTCTGTCTGCATCAAAGCTACAGTGCAGTTACCAGCTGCCTCCTTACCTGTGACCGTGGTGATGTGGCTGGAAGAACAGGAGGCTCTTCTGTGGAAACAGCTAGTTCCAATGCAGTGATGAGAAGCATAGTGGGAGTCAGACTTGTAGCTTCCTCTGCCTGGAGGTTTTGAAACTGTTCTTCAAAGCTTTCAGGTTTCTTGTACAGGGAACTTGGCCCAGCATCAGGAGTCTTCCCTGCAGAGGGCAACAGGTACGGTAGCATTAGCTTTCTCTTCTCTTTTCTCTTTGTGTGCCATAGATTTGAGTCAAAGGAATTCAGATTTAATCCAGCCACTGGCCAGTGTTCTACCACTCTGAGCTGCTGTTTAGAACAGTGTAAAAGAGAGTCATGTACTATTAAATTAAAATGATAGATCAGGTAGAGAGTATATGCGTTTCGGTTTTTACACATTTAAGTCATACATAATCACACCTTCTTAAAGATATGTCTTTCTTGCTTAGAAGTAAAGGATTTTGTCTTCTAGTCTCAAGAGTACAAAATGTACCTGTTTAACCATTTTTAAACCAATGGATTAAGCTGCTGCAAATACCTGTGAACACATTCTTATTTGATTTTAGTAGTGGGTTATTTCAGTTTAGCTCAAGTCAGGACCTACCTAACTTGAAATAAAAAAATCTTCACAGCCTGATCCCTGCTTTTCCTAAGTATTAATTTAAATACAACCTTAAGTTAAACCAAAGAAACAAGGCCTGTTTTGTAGTCTCCAAATATTGCTTCAAACCAGCTTTGTTGCATACTCTTCTATATTGCTTAACATGAGTTATTTAATCAGTCCCCTGAGAAAACAATAGAGCTCTTCTTACTGATGCAGGGAGGAGTGATAGCTGGAACTCAGGGATACTGACACCCAGCTTGTCAAATAATGTAGATTGACACAAACTGCCTGGCTTTAATAGGACTAAAGATTACCACACTGAGCATATCATACCACAGAGACACACACCCACAACTTGACCTGCAAAGGAAAGCAGTCCCAGTCAGAAACAAGCAACATGTTAAAGTAATTAGTGCAATTTCACATATGCAAAATTTATGGTTTTTTTAGTTCAGCATAGACATAGAAGAATACAAGCTCTGATGAGAAGAAACTGATCTTCAAGTGAAGTAGGAGTTTTGTATTATTTCTGGTCTATTTGTATTAGTTCTGGTCATATTTCAAAGTCAGTGGAGAGATTGAGCATGGCTTGGACATGTTTGTTCATAAATGGAACCATTTGCTAAAGAAGCAAAAAAACCAAAGCAGCCCACCCCAAAACAACCCCTCAAGTTGTAGGAATTTTCAGAGCTCCCCCTATAAGGCAAACCAGGTCATTTTCACAAACTTGCAGCCAGCAGTAAAAATCTCTGGTTCTGGATTTCCCCTTTTTTCTTGTGCCTCTTTTGTTTGGCAGATTTCTCCCCAGAGCAGGCACATATCCCACACCCTCCACACACCCATGTGGCTCAACCACAGCTGCATCATCTTGCCCTCATACAAGTGACACTCATTTCTAGTGACCCAACAGCCTCAGGTTCCCTTGGAGCTCGAATACCTCTGTGGTGCTTCAGCCTGTCCCTGCGGCTATGTCGCCGATGCTCTCGGTTCTGCTTCTTTCCTCTCTCAGACCCAGGGGACTGGTTCTCCCTTTCAGGATATGGGAACTCAAAACCCAGGAACACATCTTTATTCTGTTTCAGGGCTGCTGGCTGCCCCTCTGCCACCAGCTCTTCCACAGCTGGAGCTCCGCTACCCATTCTGAGGGTCTCTTCCCCAGCTGGCTGCCCTCTAGAAGGCATGGCATGGACCCTCTCCTTCTTGGCCAAGCCATGCTTGTGGTGATGCCCACTTCTGGACTGCTGCAGCCACATCTCTTGGTTTTGAAGATGGTTGTTGTTCTCTGGGACATTTTTGAGCTTTGTGCCAGGGTCCAGGGAGACTGCGAGACTGACGTCAGAAAGAACCAGCACACACAGGAAAAGGAAAGGAGAGAAGAAGGTGGAAGAAGTTGCCATAATCCTGGGTGCTCTGCCTCACCTACAATTAAAAAAAAAAAAAAAGAAAAAATAAGCAACCAACTTCTATGACCTGTAAAGGCAAGCAAGATTCAGACCTAGGACACTTAGATGAAAACAGTTATGGTGTCCAGAGGTGGAGTTTTTCCCTCCCTGGTTACCTCCTCCTCTCCCAGCCCTGGTTACAGCAGCTGAGACACACGTGCAGGGCCTGCAGGCCTGAGAGGTCCCAGTTTCATGTGCAAATGAGGGCCATCAATCAGTAGGACATTTCCCTTTGATTCCTTACTAGCCCCCCTACCCTCCCATTCACAGCCTACCATCTGAGGGGCTGGGGAGGCTGGCTCCTGCAGGTCACAGCTCCTGAGCCGCCTGCACAGCACCAGCTGTCCGGCTAGGGCTGTTTGCTGCCAGGTTGGCATCCTGGGCCTGGCTGGCACTGGCCCCTCCTCACAGCTGGTTTCCTTGCAATGAAGACGTCAAGATGAACAGAACTGGAGGCAGATGGTGGCCTCGCAGGACCAGCAACAGCTCTGAGCAGCTCAAGACAGAGACATGCACACACATACTGCTTCAGGGTGGCTGAAACTGGTCAAGGGAAGAAAAAACACTGGAAATTTTGTGCTGATACCTCACAGCATAGCAGAGAAAGAAATCTTCTGCTGTCAGCAGAGCAGAGGATGCTGATCTAAAGAACAAGGAGACAGAGTTTTCTCTAGGTTGTCCCACTTTCCCTCCTTGACCCTGCACAGGTCACTTCACCTCACCCCACCAGGTAAGGCTGTCACTGGGAGGGTAACTTAAGTCCAAAGACCACTGAGACTGAGTCCCTCAGCACAGTGGCTGCAGACTATTCTCATTCATTCTGTTTCACTGTAATATTTTTGAGGGTCTTCCTTCATCCCTGTGTTTGTGTTATATGACATGGCTTTGGGACATTGCACGAGTCAGAGATTTCTCTAATTAAGTCCTTCTCCCGTGTCCTTTCCCACAAAAAGGGGAAAGGGTTTTTCAGCATTTCCAGTGTAGCCTTTAACTTTGGGTAGCTTTCTCAGACTGTCCCTCTCAATCTGGGCAGCATGAAGGGATGCTTAAAGCCAGAGATCCCCGTGACACTGACTGTCAGAAAACCAGGCCTATGCTTACATTTAAGAAATACTGTTGCGGCCACAGCTCTTCACTCAACTTCCTCCCCATCTTTCCTGCACCCCGGGACCCAGTTGCACCTGATTTCCCACTGCCTGTTCAGCAGGTGAACCACTTTGCTGCATAATTACAATGCCTTGCACTCCCTCCTCCAGGTGCTTTGCTGCTTGACCAGCCATTGTCACCTGTGAAGGGCAGCAGGTAACATCCTTTGAGGCCAATCTCAGTGCCTTTTTGTGGAGCTGAAAGGAGACACCCTAAGAATAGCCTTGGCTCTTCCTTGCCTCTTTCAACCTGTAAGGCAGATGCAGAGTGTTTCAAGTTAGTGGAACCTCTGCCATCATAGCAGTCCCAGCCTCATAAAGCATTTGGAAAGCTTAGAGGGAGATGTCTTCATCCTCTCAACTGAAAAGCCTGCTCACTTGTTCACCAGCTGATTCTGCATTTCCAAGATTCACCCCTGTTATTGCTCAGAGCCTGGGAGCAAATTTTCAGTTCAGACCTCCTCTGGAAAGAGGTAGGCAGCACAGGGGCCTTCTCTTTAATGCAGTGTCTGAAAAGCAGGTCTTTCTACTGGCCACAAAGGACAACAAACTGCTATTTGAGGACTGATTTAGGAGGTGCTGGGTAGCTCATTTGCTGAAGGCATAACACTATGAAATAGTATTTTATTGGCAGCTACCTGGGACAAAGGAAAAACCAGACTGACAGCTAAATTTGTTAACAAAGCACTTGAAGTCCTGCTTCAAAACCAATGGAACAAATAGCAACCAAGCAAAACCCAAGCTCTGCATCCATGGTCTTTGTTTTTCCTTAGGATTTTCTCTTTAAGAACCAGAGCAAACCAGCTGGATCAAGGCATCACTCAGAACAACTCAAAGAGCTAGAAACAGCATCTTACCTTTTCATCTGTAGGCAAAATACCAAGAGAGAACAAGTGCAAAAAGAATGTGAGGCAGGTGTCTCCAATCTCACTCACACAGACATGAGCCCTTTTGATGGTGAACCTGACAGACACACTAGCTGCAGATTCTGGTTTTCAGCAGGAGCTAGAAAGCAGCTAAATGCTACAGGGCAGTTAAACAGAAGGTCTGCTTCAAAGTGTAGGGGGCATTTAAGTTACCCAGCTGTCTTGTTGTCATGACACAGGTTGAAAGCGCAGCTAGAGCACATGGGTCACCTCATCTCCACGCTGGCTGAGAGGGCAGGCTAACATGCTGTGTTACTGTGTCTCTGGGGATCTTGCGTTAATAATGCAGGTAAATACCTGTACTGCACTGTTGTCAGGGGACATCTGAGCTGTTTGCCAAACCAGAACAGCGCATGCAAGTTGTGGTAGCTTGGCTTAATACAACACTGCTGTGCTAGAGGCACAGAAGTCCCAGCCTTCTCTTAACCACTTGTTTCCATGCCTAGTCTATCTTTAACTTCAGAAATCTTTTCCTACCGCCTCCATTTTTCTTACCCTACAGAAGCTGTAAAATTCACACTTCCAAAAGGCAGCTAGATAACACAACAGCATCCCTAGTTCTCCTCAGTGCTCAGGTTCCTCAATGTCTGAGCACTAAAGTAAACTCCACCCTCTCCTCTGTCAGGACCACAGTCCACAAAAGACCATGCTAGCCCCAGGCTCGTTGATGTAGGTGACAGCAATGTTCTCACACTGCTGATGCACCTTTTCTGCCAAGGGTGAAATTCTGTCCTGAGATATATGCTAGGCAGAAAGAAGTCTGTCCTTGTAAGGAGATACCTTTCCTAAATTGCTCTTAAACAATCACACATACTGCAGCAAGCCTAGAATTCATCCTCTTCTTAGGGTTCATATATTAATAAAAGAAATAGCTGAAGTACTTGCCAAGTTAAGCTGCCCCTGTAGCTCTTCACAACACCAGACCTACATCGTCCTTGCTCCACCCAATGCCTTGCACTTCCTTTATAGACCCTCAGGATTATGAGCCACCTGCCTCTTGAGGTACCAAATCTGCCTACTAACAAGAAAATGTGTAAAGCAAAGATAAGGCCTTAGAGCTACCCAGGGTGCAGGCTCAGGGCTGATGAATGAGTTGCAGCACTGTCTCAGCCACTATTTCTGATCCATTTTGGGTTAGTAGCGGATGGTCACAATCCTGTAAGAGAAATTGGGGGGGGGGGTTGCATCTTGGGTAACCTTCCCTGTGGCCAGGCTCTTTCTCTAGACTCACTGATACAATTGCTATTACTCTGCTCTCTCCTTGTAATCCTGCAAGGCAGCCATGGACTAAGAAGGTACACAGAAAGTCAGGCATGTTTTCCCCCTACAGTTATGTCACCTTGGCTCTGAAACTGCCCCTGCTGCAGTTTTGTATTTGACAAAGCAGGAACATCAGATCATCTACGTTCATTCACATATCTCACTTAAAACATGATACCTGACAGTCCTAGCTTTAACTTTTCACATATGTTCTTCATGTCACAGCCAAGAGGAACAAAACTCTTGAACCAAGAAACAGAGAATATCAAGATCCTTTATCACTCCAGACCACAAATGATGCAGTTTGTATGCTCGAGGGCTGAACCAAGCTAGACCCAAGTACGTATGCTGGGCCAGATTTCTCTTTGGCTCTGATAAGCTCAGACTTTGGCAGGCGTGCGTAAAGATTTCCTGGACTCCAGACAATCCCAAGCTGCAGCAATAGACAAAGTGTATGTGCATCTACATGGGTGTTGTGTGTATGTGCATGTGTGGCAGGGATGATAGACAATAAACCCAGCTTCGTGTGCCAGGGTCCCTGCAAATAAGAAGCCATAGGGTGATGGATGGGCTTGGGAAGGCCTGGAGCAGAATGGATGGGGTAGGCTCTATGGTAGCTGACATGCAGAGAGCTGGCTGGAGCCAGGAGGATGGCATTGTGCAGATAAATGAGATTTCACTTCCCTGCTGGGTCTCTTTCCATCTGTTTTTCTGTTTCTGGAGGCAAATGCTGGGAAGCTTCATAAACAATCTGCCAAGAGAACTTCCCATTTCAAAGGGCTCCTCTCTCCCAGCTTTCTAGGGTCCTCAAAAGCAGACAGGTAATCTTATATGCACTCTTCTCTTTTCCTTCCCAGGGAAAAGTAATAACACTTCTCTCCAACATTTCTTGCACACTCACTTTGTAAAGATTTTTTTTGCTGCTGGCCCAGACATCCTTGGGACGATGAAGCAGCAGAGTCCCCTGCTCACAGATCTCCAGCCCTTTTGGGTCCCTCTTCAGAGCTTCCCTCCTTTCTTAGGTTTCCTGAATCTGTTGTCAACTTTTCTCCATACCTTGCCTTTCATATTTATCTGAGTCCACAGTTTCCTTGTCCCCCATGACTGTGTTTGGTGTGAGATTTCTGCTCTGCAGATATTTAGGCTAGGCCACTTGAATCCCGCCACCACCCTTTGAAACATCTGCTTTCCTTTGCCTGTGTTGTTTTCTCTCACTTTCTGCCATCACCAAATGGCACTCCACTGCAGAAAGGGCCAAATTCACTAATGCACTAATTGCACTAGTGGCACAAGAGACAGGACATAGAGATTCAGGCTTGCAGGGTGTTAAGTAGTAGCTGTAGCTGCCCCTGTACCTCCACAAAGAATCTCCCTGGGGTGACTCACGTCCAGTGACCACTTGAAATGCGACTCACTCAACATTAGTTGAAGGGCTGGAACTGGGACTCTGTTTTTGCTGACCCATTGGCCCAGGCAATCCCTTCCCCTCACCCATCAGCTCTGGCTGACAGCCTGTGCTCTGCCCTCCTAGCCACGGAGGACCGAAGTGGCTTGTTCACAAAGCATGGCCCAGGAAATACCCTCTCTCCTGCAGCCCAGACTTGTAAGCTGGCAGTTTTGTACTTGTCACTAAGTCACTGCTAAGCTCCAGCACTCTGGCTCTGATGAAGGCTGGACACCTTGCAAATCCTTTAAGTCACTACGCGCCTCTCACCTTCAGCCACAGCCATGCTACCCCTTTCTCCTGTGCCTACCCTGATCTGCACAGAGAGCTTCACTGCCCTCAGCGTCAGTGCACGAGCAGGGAGGGTGCAGCGCCAACATCCTCCGGGGACAGAGTAGCCCAGCAAGTCACCGTATTGAAGTGGAAGAGGGACACATGAATGAATATGCAGTACCCGCTGCTCTGCTTCCCTCTGGGGCTTCACGGAGTGGCTGACACAGCCTTCATAGGCGACCTGCTATCAAACAGACTCTACTTTACCCAATAATGAGATTAAAATAGCAATGAGCCTGAGATTAGCATCCAAGATATAGTCGCTTGCTGTCAGCACAGCAGAGAAGACTCTCCAGTTTAATGCACAATGCCTAGTGACAAATGAGACACAATCAATAGCAAAGGTCATTGCTCACCCGGCTGGAAAGCACCAGCCAGTGTGACAGGGAAGAATGGGGGCAGATTTGGCCCAATCTTCGCTGGGGGGAGAAGTGGATGTGTCCCAACTGGCAGAACAGTTAGGCTGTGCTTTCAACATTTTTCCTTGCATGTCATTCTCACTTTGAACCAAAACGTGTAGGATTAATGCCTCCTTCTGCAAGGGAGAGGAGATGGGAATACAAAACCATTTCCATTAAACCCTCTGGCTCATGGAAGACTTCAGGTGTGAATTGGATAAATGTCACTTAAATTCTACATGATGAATTACTAGCTGTAATAAGTCATTAACTGACGCCAAACTGATTTAATTCAGAAACGAGATCTCACTTTCATCAACAGAGGAAGAGCAGAGAATAACCCACGGGCACTCAGGGACTCGCTGCACGGCAGCGCACGGCTCTGCAAACACAATGACTCGGTGGGAAAAGCTTCCTTCACCCCTCGACCACTCTCCACGGCAGCTCTGGCTCAGAGCTGGCACGTACCCCCGGGGTGCTCAGCAGCTGCCTGCGAGAGGGCCGATGCCTCCGTCCGAGGCGACTTTGCTTGCGGGGAAGGGGAGAACCATCTCGGGAGAGAGCTTGCAGTAGCCCCTGAAGTGGCAAGGACTCGCAGTAAGGCGGTGGGGCGCAAACCCCAAAAGCCCGCACTGCACACCCCTGCTAGGTGCACGGCGCTGCACGTCGCGCTGAGGGCGAGCCGGGAGGCAGAACGGCGGTGGGGGAGCCTGGAGCCCGCTCCCCGGCACGGGTGACAATAGGGCTGGCTGAAGGCACCGCGCACCGGCGCTGTGCGAGCTCGGGGCTCGGTTCCCACCACCGAGCCGTGCCGCCGCGACCCGAGGCACCGCGCATCGCCGGCGTCCCGGCGGCGGCAGCCTAGAGGCGGCGGGACCGCGGGGTTCCCCGTCGCCCCCGGCCTTTGTCTCCTCCGGGGCGCACGGAAAGTAGGAAGGTGCCCCCCACCCCTCCCCCGATCCCTGCGAAAGCAAAGGGAAATCAGCTCGGTGGAGCATGCACCCCCGGCCACCCCCGCGGCCCGGCCCCGGGCTGGGTGCGAGGTGAGCGCGATGCGGGCAGCGCTGCCTACCTGTCCGCAGCTCCTCGGTCTGGGCTGAGCCCGGCAGGCAGGGCAGGGCAGCGGCTGTGCATGCAGCGGGAGGGGAGGCAAGTCTGCCGGGGGGGCAGGGGGGTGTTCAAACCCGAGAGGAGGAGGAGGAGGAGGAGGAGGAGGGGTACCCACGGGAGCGCAGGGTGCGGGGCGGGTGGCAGGAGCAGTCCCTGCCCGGTTCCTGCCCGGGGCAGACAAAGGACGGAGACAAAGGCGGGGCGGCCCGGACCCGGGGGGCTCGGGGGGGGGGTGGTGTGGTGGCGACCGGGCCCCCGCTCACCTGCACAGCGGGGCGGGCGCGGCGCTCCCGCTCCCCGCAGGGGCTCCCCCGCGTTAGGGTAACGGCGTGGGAAACGGGACCGGGGTGCCCCATTCCCTGCACCGAGCACCCAGCCCTGCGGCAAGGGAAGGAGCTGCAGTGCTGGAGCGGGGGGGGGGGCAGCCAGGAGCCCGCGGGG